CAGGTAAGACCCGGGCTGGCCTAAGCCCTCTAACTCCCCAAAGCTGGCCCTCTACACATGCTTCTCAGCTTCTTTGCAGAGTTTCATGCTGGCTGCCCTCTAATGGATATTTTTTGTTGTCTGGGTTTTCATGAGACTCTCTTCTTTTGTGATTCTCCTACTTGTCTTACTTCTAAGTTTGTTCTTCTGCTCCTAGATGCTATTCTTTTCTCTCCTATAGTCTCTGTTGATGACCTCATCAGCTCTCATAGGTTTAACTGTTGTCTTTGCAGATAATGTCCAAATTTGTTTCTACCTGTAGTACCCTGAGCATCAAACTCAGACCATTGATTATCTGCCTATATCAGACATTTTAACCTGTATATCCCATAGCCATCTGAAACCCAGCATGTACAAAACAGAACTCGTTATCTTTCCCACACTTGCCAAACGATATTTCTTTTGAATTTCTCTATATTGCTCTTTAGAGCTCTACCATCATAACATTTCTCAGGTTTGTAAATTCAGATTGTTTCTCAACTCCTTCCTTTTCCTTAACTGACATATCTAATCAGTTTCCAAATCTTGTTTTTTATTCCTCTATAACATCTCTTTTATCCAACTCCTTCTCTACTCACAAAGCCACAACCTTAGTTCAGCCCTTTATCACCTCTTGCTTGGACTATTGCATGCAATTACTTCCTAATAATTATGCTCCCCGCCTCAACTCTCTCAACAATTTAGCCCATCCTATACACTCAGTCAGACTGATTTGCTTCACTTAAAGATCTGACTATAAAACTCCCTTACTCACTAAACTGCAGTGGCTCTCTATTGCCTTTAGGATTGAATATAAATTCTTATTTAGCTTTTGCAGCTCTGCACAACTTTGTCCCCATCCTTCTTTATTGTCTTATTGCCCATTACTCTCCCTGTTAGTACTCAGATCCAACCAAAATAATGTTCTGTTACTTACACAAAGCATGTCATTTTTCATATGCATAGCTTTGTATTGGCTATTTCCCCTGCTCTCTCTACTGTGCCCTCCCTTTTCAAAGAATACCTTCCTTCGAAACTGAGCTCAAGCACCAACTTTGACATGAAGCTTATCTTGTCCCCTCCCCCCAAGTGCTAGTGCCCTCCCTTCCAAAACTACCTTGTATGTATATAGAGTATATTTATATATTTGCATCCCCCCCATAAAATATAAGCTCCTAAATGAAAAGGAGAGCTATTTCATTTCTACCTTTGTATCTCCACTTCCTAGCATAATGCCATAATGTGTATATGTTTTATTTTTATTTTTTAAGGTGAGGCAATTGGGGTTAAGTGACTTGCCCAGGAGTCACACAGCTAGTAAGTGTCAAGTGTTTGAGGTCTCATTTGAACTCAGGTCCTTCTAACTCCAAGGCCAGAGCTCTATCCACTGTGCCATCTAGGCTGCCCTGTGTATATGTTTTCAAACAAAATTCAATAAATGTTTAGGTACCTAGAGTTTGCCAGGCACTGTGCTAGGTGCTGGTAATACAGAGACATAAATAGTCCTGGCCCTGGATTATAGAATACAGTCAGTTAGATTATTTTCTAGCAGAGCATGTGCATGTAGTAATTTAAGGATTATAGTGTACACACATTAACCTCATTACAAAAGGACTTCACAGAATCATAAAATTTTAGCATTAGGAGGGACCAGATATTTAGATGCCTAATAAACTTTTGTTGACTGGTGAATTAGAAGTTTTATAGCACTTTTCTTGCAACACTGTTGTTGAAGGTAGGTAGAGTAAATATTAGCTTTCCTATTATACACATGAAACAGTGGAGTTTCTGAGAACTTTTGCTTTACCCATGAAGTACTATTGGGCAAGGGTGGGAAGGGGGAGGTGAGACACGATAGAGTATATTGGGCATTTTTTCCTTTTTCAGTAATATTGCTAGGAATTACCAGGTTTCCCTTCTTTTGAGAATATTTTTTATTATTCTCCCCTCCTCACTCTTTTAAAAATATTCTTATGTAAAATTCCAGGAAATGTTGACAGAAGAAATAAATTTCAGAAATGATACATCTTTTTGTAAAAAGGCAAAGAAGGTATAGAAATAAAACTTTAGTGTATGGAAACCTTGCTAATATTTTTGAATTAAGTCATGAATTAGTATCTTAGTGTTTTTCCGTTTTTCTTTTGGACATATTTTCTGTAAATGTATTCATTAGTGTGTTTTGAGAACTATGGTACCATAGGAAATCACAAATGTAGGAAATTCCACATTGGCCTTATTCCCACTCAGTTTAAGATTCTAGTTAGGTTTTTCATCTTATTAATTTTTAAAATATGATTGTATTCTTTGGATGGGTATGGAGGGAGAGTCCAGAAAAAATCTCTCCACAGCCTAGCAGATGGCATTCATCTCACATCTTAGTTTACGCATCTGTTGGCTTTTTTCTCCATTCATATGGTGAGTTAAAGGAAAGAAAATCAGTAAAGGAATGTTTCTGTTCTTGAAACATTTTTTTGAGTAGGTAGACTCTAATAGTTACCATCCTGCAATTTTGGGAGGTGGTGAGGAGCAAAATAACTAACATGTCCCCAGTAGAAGCAGTAACACTTGTATTAAAATGAGATTTTTTTTGTGTGTTTGTCCAGTATAGACACTTTTTCAGGCAAGTGACAGTTTGCAAAGCATTCAAAGTCATGTATGCCAAGTACAATGAAAAGATACATAAAGTACAATGTATTAAATTGCTGTGGTTTGCAAATAGACAGTTATTTGCATTCTTTGTGTGGCTACAAAAATTAAATTGTAGTGTGACTTCCTAGCGTCAACTAAATTAAATTTTTTTTTTGATCAGAGTACTTTCAATATGTCTTTAAATGGAAAAGAAGGTAGGAATTGAATGTAATTGAATTTCAGGAGTATAGTTGAGTAAAATTTCAACAATTTACAATGCTAACTTTTTAGTGCTTCTGAAAGCAGGAAGTCTTATTAGTGACCGACCAGAAGTATTCTAGCTCAAAGAACATCCCAACTGCCATATGTAGTGAGGGTTTGTCATTAACCCACAAACTGCTTCTGTAGTACAGTCATTAGCAGAATTGGTCTTTGTCAGGCATTCATAAGAGATATGAAAGGATGCATTTTTTCATAGTGGCTTTTAAGTAATTTTTATTATTTAAAGAATTTAAGAAGTAAATTCTTGTCCTTCAGATATGGGTGAGGTTTTGTTTTGTTTTTAATTGAAAGCTATTTGGGATACTTAAGACAAATAGCAGTTTATGAGAATTAAGTAAGTTAGACATAGAGTTTTCAGTTTAGTGTTGGAAATAGAACACTGGACTGGATATGGAGGATGTAGGTTTTAGTTACAATTTTGAGCTGTACTATTTGAATAAGTAATAATTTCACTGAAACTCGGAGTTTTGTTGTCAAGATATAAAAAAAGAAGGTAATATTTATACAACAGCCTTACAAAATTGTCGTGTGGAAAATACATTGTAAACTAGTATCACTGAGTTTGAAAAGTGCTCTGATGCCAACTCTTGCTGATTATTAAAAAAATGATGTCTTATTCCATTTGCACACCCATTGCCGAACTTCCTGTACACTGTCATTCTTTGGAAAAATAGAATCACAGGTCATTTAGCATTTATTTTGTAAGTGTGTGCAGTGTATTATGCTGAGTGGTGTAGAAGTTACTTGTGTTACTTTGGGTCCATAATTTCATGGGTGGGAGACTCTTTTTTTCCAGCGATAACATCATGCTGTCTCATCTTGTCCGTGCCTTTCCATAAAAATCTTCTGTAGTGTAGTGTTCTAAGTTCATTTTTAAGCTCCTTGATGTGCAGAGCACTGAGTACAGAACCAACGAACAGAGATTAAGATGGTGGCAGGTAGGTGGCACAGTGGATAGAACACCAGCCCTGGAGTCAGGAGGACCTGAGTTCAGATCTCACACTTGACACTTGCTAGCTGTGTGTGACCCTGGGCAAGTCACTTAACCCCAATTGCCTCTGCAAAACAAAACAAAAGATTAAGATGTCAGTACTTCCTGCTTTTCTGAGGTTTACATTATTACTAGAGACTGTAACCTGTTCATAGACGAGGAGACAGAAAGTAATTTCAAGGGACGAGGAGGGATTGCTTCCAACTTAAACGGATCACAAAAGGCCTTGTATAAGAAGTAATGAACGAAGCTAGGATTCTAACAGGTGCAAGTGAGAATGTAGTGCATTCCAGATATGGGGCAAAAGGCATGGAAGTGTAAAATGGAATATCTTTAATGAGCACTACCTGGTAATCTACTTTGACAAAGATTAATGGTGTATGGGAAGCAAATGTTTACAAAATGGGAGATGAATCAGGGAAGACTTGAAATGCTAGGTTGAAGGGGTAATTGGGAGCCACTGGAAAAAAATTTTAAGAGTAGTGACAGAGTCAAATCTTTGTTTTAGGAATATCAGCTTGGTACTTGAAGACCTAGTTGGACTGTTAAAACAGGTGAGGCAATAAGTGATGATAGAAGGGGCCAGGATTAAGAGATGTTGTGAAAGTATCAACAAGACTGCTGGCAAATACAGGGTGAAGCAGAGTGGAAAAGTCGAGGAATGCTCTTCACCTATTTATGAGTATCAGCATGTCCCTCACTGTCAGTCTGTAATCCTTTACTCTAGCTATACAACCTGCCAACCTCCTTTTCTGGTCATACATCCTAGAAGCTCTGTATGTGATTTACATTTTAATGTCTTATCTCATTTTTAGAGTTTTGTAGAGAAAAATTGTAATTGTAATCCCTTGTTTTATTATAAAAATAGATTTGCTTTGAGAACTGTCAACTCCTTGAAGGTGGGGAAAGGGTGAAGTGAATACTTTGAATGAAGAAGAATTTGGGAAAATGTCGCTGATAGATTTTTGTTAGCATCCAGCTCTACAACAACTCTGTAGAACTTTAGTAAATAATTTTATAAATGCATTAAATATTTCAACTATGAAGATATTTGACTAAATGTGTTATTTTTTTTCCCCAGCGACTAAGACGATTATCTACTAAATATAGAACAGAAAAAATTTATCCAACAGCCACTGGAGAAAAAGAAGAAAATGTTAAAAAGAACAGATACAAAGACATATTACCGTGTAAGTTTGAATTATCTTATACCAAAACAGATAGAAGTGTTAATTATTTTTGTGGCCTTAACAATTTCTTTTTCTGTTGTTATAGAATGACTAGATTAGATGAATGTTCAGGCTTTTGTCTTAAAAGTGCAATGTTAGAACAGTTACGTCCAAATTGAAATGTTTCTTAAATTTGTAAATAGGCTTTTAAACTTTATTTTTTAGTCTTTGTTTACAAAATAATTTTTGCCTGATAATAAATTTCTTTTAAAGTATATATCTTTTTAACACTAATTTTTTAATTTTGATTTCTAAATTCCCTTCCATCTTCCCCCCCATTGAGAAGGCAAACAGTATATCAGTTACGCATGTGAAGTCATGCAAAACATTCTTCCGTATTAGCCTTATTGCAAAAGAAACCAAAAACAAATCAAGACATCAAGAAAGTGGAATAAATTATGCTTCAGTCAGAATTCATCAGCTCTCTCTTGAGTTGGATAGCGTTTTTCATCGTGGGTGCTTTGGAGTTGTCTTGAATCATTGTCTTGATCAGAGTAGCTAAGTCTTTCACAGTTGACCATCATTACAATATTGCTGTTACTGTGTACAGTGTTCTCCTAGTTCTGCTCACTTTGCTTTTATCAGTTCATGTAAGTCTTCCTAGTTTTTCTGAAACCATCCTAATCATCATGTCTTATAGCGCAATAGTATTCCATCACAGTCATATACCATAACATGATCAGCCATTCCCCACTGTTTTCAATTTCTTATTCTTTACCACCACCACAAAAAGAACTGCTATGAATATTTTTGTACGCAGAAGTCTTTTTTTTAGGCCTGATACTAAGTAAAAAAAAAAAAAGCCAAAAACTAAAATTCTAGTGGGAAAATTCTTTTGTGAAATTCTTTCGAGGCACTTCAGTTAGAGAAGCAAACTGTTATTAAATTTTCCGACGGTAAATTTTGGAGATGCAGAGTATAGTAGGTATTTTCTTTCTTTTGTATTGTAGTCTTTTGCAAATTACTGGCTTATTTTTTTCTTATTCATGGTGTCTCCAAGACTGCTACTGCTTCATATTACCAATTGTATTTTAGTCCTCATTGTTAGGTTGGGGTAGTAAGAGGTTGAGATTGTAGAAACATTTCTGAATGTATTTCACAGTGGATCTTTGAACCTACCCTCCAAAGCCAAATAGAAAAGATTTTCATATTATTTTCTATTTTCTTTTTGTAGGCTTGAATAATGAAGAGCAGGTTATGTAGTGTAGTCATAATTGTGTATAATCTGTGTGGTGTTTCAGTTTTTGATTAAGTTTCTTAGTGAAATACTGTAGTAAATTCTTACACATAGATTTACCACTAGAATGATACCTAAGGATTAGGAAACAATTTACCTAGAGTAAGTACAATTTATAGTATGGCATAGAGAATAAAGGGTTGGCCTCTCAGCTAGGAAACTGGTTTCAAGCTCTACATCTGACACATAATAGCTGTGTGACCATTGGTACCTCACTTAATTGATCAGTGTCCCAGGTAAGTCATTAACAATATAAATTGCAGGACAGGTTGCTGATCTGCATTGGAAGAAGCAGTTTGCTTATATGGGAGTTTACTATGCCAAAGCCAACAGTTCTTGTTAAAAACAAATGCCTCCCTGACTTTGTCATTTTTTAATTCTTCCAGTAAGATGTTCTAGGGTCAAGTAAATTGAAGTATTTGAATGATTTATCTGGTTTTTGTTCTTGTTTTTTTGTCTTTTAAACTAGATACAAAAAATAGAATGGCAAATATCTCACAAAGGCACATAGCTGTGGACTTATGGATGCATACATATTACACAATAGGAGTAGATTAAAAAGTGGGGGAAAATAGCTGAAAGCTTAGAGTATAATGCATCCTTAGTATCAGCCCCATCTGTATGTATATCTAGTTTTTCTAGACAGTTTTGTTTAATTTTATTTATAGGAGACCTAGCTACCCTTATTAGAATAGAGTGTTTATCTCACTGGATTTTTAAACATTTTGGAAAGACTACAAGGTGTTTTTAAAAGTAGAATTGTTTATACAGTTGTTTTGGTCATTCAAACTCTGAGGATCTATTCAATATTTGGATTATCCAGTTTTCATATAACCTAATAGTAATTAGTTCTTAATAACCTATGAGATTATGCTACAGTAATAAAAGGAGATGGACAATGCTTTTATCTTTTAGAGAGAAATAGGCATTGGTGATTGGAAAGTCAGTGAACCTCTGTAGGTCAGGGATTCTTAAACCTTTTGTGTCATAGATCCCTTTAGCAGTCTGAAATCTGTGGACACTTTCCCAGAATAACGTTCTCAAGTGTGTTAAATAAAATACATAGAATTATAAAGGAAAGCACTTATTTCAAAGTAATCAAGAGAATATCAGAATTTTTTTTTTTAAGGTTCGAGGACCCCACATTAAGAACTGCTGCCCAGGTAGTTGCTGGGAAAAAAAGAGTTTTTAGAAAAAGGGTTTAGTAAACCAATTTTCTTTCCCTTACTTAAAATTATACCTCTGACTTTTCCTGTTTCTGTTAGTGGCACCCCCGTTCCCGCATTTGCCTGTGGCCCAAACCTTGGCATTCTTTTTGTTTTCTTCTCCTCTGCTTCCTCAGTCCAGATCCTTATGTCTTGATTGCATTATTTGTAGTAGCCTCATAGTTTATTCTCATCACTTTGTCTTTCCCCTTGCAGTTCATACTTCCAATCATTGTTAAAATGACATTTACATGGATAAGGAAGATTTATGTCAATCAAAACCTTTTATTGATTTCTTCTTGCCTAATGAAATCCAAATTCCTTTTCCAGGAACTCAAAGCTTTCCAAAACCTGATGTAATCTACTTGTATAACTTTTATTTTACTCTGTTCTCCCGAATAAAGTGTTCACTTTAGACAGGCTAAAATACTGAGTTTCTCTAATCTATATCCCACAGTTTTGGCCTCTGTCCATTTGTTCATATTATACCTTATTCAAGAAATGCCCCTATTCTTTGTCACCACAGTTGAAATCCTTGGGAAATTATGGCATAGTAGATAAAGTTCTGACCTTGGGAGTTGAGAGGCCCAAGTTTGAATCCTGCCCCAATTGTTGACTAGTTCTCTGATCCTTGGCCGGACACTGCATCTGAAAATGGGTAGTAATAATACCTACTTTGAGGATTTTTAGGATCAAATGAGGTAATATTTTTGAAGTACTATATAAATTTTAGTTATTATTAATATTACAATTAATTGTCCTTCTCTGTGCTCTTCACTCACAATTGATCTTTCCTTAAAAGTCTGTGTATCATTTGTATCTCTCTTGTGTTTATTGTGTTTATTTTATATTCATGATCATTTTGTATATTCATCTCTGGTATGGAGTTATAAGCTGTTTTAGGGCAGGAACTATCTTCTCTATCTGTATCTCTTTAGGACCTAACATACTTTGCACATACTTAATATTTAATGTAATATTTGATTTAATAGCATCCGTGAGGGTACTTGCTCTAAGAGTGAGAACGGAAGCCTTACGCATACCTTTTCATTTTTGTTCCCCTCTTGTTCATGGCCTTCTGTAAAGCATAGAGGGTCTGTCCATTGTGCTGGGCATCTGCTTCTAGACCACTTGACAGTAAGGGAATAGTGGTGCAGTACACAAACTGTTGATAATATGCCGTGTCTTTTCATACATGGCATATACCTTTATGTTGGGTGATCCTCAATTTGAATTATTCAGAGACTATCATAGTCATACAATATCACCAAAAAGAGGGATAATTTCTTTTTAATTAATTTATTTTTAGTTTTCAAATCACTTCCATAAGCTTTTGAGTTTTAAATTTTCTCTGCCTCCCTCAAGACGGCATGCAATCTGATATAGTATAGGCTTTACATATACATTCCTGTTAAACATATTTTCACATTAGTCATGTTGTAAAGAAGATTAGAACTAATAGGAGGAACCATAAGAAAGAAGAAACAAAACAAAACAGAAGAGAAAAAAAAGAATAAATAGTATACTGCAATCTGCATTCCAACTCCATAGTTCTTTCTCTGGATGTGGATAGCATTTTTTGTCTTGAGACTTTTGGATATGTCTTAGATCTTGCATTGCTGAGAAGAGCTATCAAAGTTAGTCATTGCACAACGTGGCTGTTATTGTGTACAGTGTTCTCCTTGTTCTGTTCACTTCACTTGGCATCAGACCGTGCAAGTCTTTCCAGGTTTTTCTGAAGTCTGCTTGCTCATTATTTCTTATAGCACAATAGTATTCCATTACATTCATATACTACAGTTTGTTCAGCCATTCCCCAATTGATGGGCATCCCCTCAATTTCCAGTTCTTTGCCATCACAGAAAGAGCTGCTATAAATATTTTTGTACATGTGGGTCCTTTTCCCATTTGTATGATCTCTTTGGGATACAGCCCTAGAAGTGCTATTGCTGGGTCAAAGGGTATGCACATATTTATAGCCCTTTGTGTATAGTTCCAAATTGCTCTCCATAATGGTTGGATCATTTCACAATTCCACCAACAATGCATTAGTGTTCCAATTTTCCCACATCTTCTCCAACATTTAACCATTTTCCTGTTTTATCATGTTAGCCAATCTGATAGGTGTGATGTGGTACTTCAAGAGTTGTTCTGATTTGCGTTTCTCTAATCAGTAGTGATTTAGCGCATTTTTTTGTGTGATTGTAGATAGCTTTAATTTCTTCATCTGAAAACTGCCTGTTCATATCCTTTGACTATTTACGTGATTTTTTTTAAAGGAACTTTGTGCAGAGGGAAACCTGGAGTCATGATATTGCTTAGTTTTCCAAAGGCAGTAAAGCCCACTGTATTGAGCAAAGTTACTTGATTGATTCTGGACTCAGTTCATCATCAGATATAAGTGCTGATGGATCATTGCTGTGAGTTGTCCTTAGAACTTTATGTCAATTTGTACATTAAACGTTCTTCATCTGCTTGGTGTTTGTGGATCTCATTTAGATAAGGCTTGATGCAGTTAG